CGTGCTGTATAAACCGCACAAACCAGCCTGAGTTTACAAAACTTCTAAATGGCAGACCAAACAACGTCTCGGAGTCTGTTAAATAATAAACAACCTATTTTTTGCACAGACATACGAATCTAAAATTCTAGCACTAGAAAAACATAGAAGCTGCCGGCGGGAACCCAGGAAATCGCGCTGTGTGCACGTGTGGACGAAGTCTTGTCCAGGTCCACAGAGGCTCCTGCATCCAAACAAGTTGTTCAAAAGAAAACACGTACTCACGTGACATCATCACTTTCACAGGCCTGCGATATGCGCCTCACATATAAGGCAACAGAACAGTTCTGTACTGGCCTGCGAATTTATCGTTGCCGTTAAGCAAATTTCGGGTTACCCATAGCAACGAATGACCAGTCAGCCATTAACATATTGCGAGAATAAACGTTGTTAAGGAGGGCACGAACGAGTGAGCAGTCTTTCTTTCACTGTAAAGTGAAGTTGTCCCTGCGATTAACTAATTAAGCACTACGCCATGAAGGCATTTGGATGGAAGAGGCCATGGCCTATTCGAGGTACTATCCTGTCATTTGTCTGGAACAACCGACGAAAACCACAAACAAATCAAGACAAGATACTCGAACCATGAGCCTCCCTGCAAGTCAAGTGCGTTACCGCCACACTCGCCTGCTTGGCATTTAACTGCAATTGTTCTAATTTGTACAGGCCAGCACCAATATCTTGACATACGAGGTCCTTAGTTCGCATTTTTATATTTTTTCAAATGATCAATATCTCATTTTCATTTGAACAACGCATATTTCCACTGTTTCCCCCCACCTACTTCTAGGTCTTCCTAGAGGTCTCTTTCCTTCTGCCCATTCCATCAAAACCCCATACGCGTTTCTCTTCACCATCATTCCCGCTACATGCCCTGCTCATCTCATCCTTTTGACTTTATCATTCTAATTATACTTGGAGAAGAGTACAAGTTATGAAGCTCCTCATTATGCAGTTTTCTCCAGCCTCCTGTCACTTCATCTCTCTTCGGTCCAAATATTCTCCTCAACACCCTGTTCTCAAATACCCTCAGTCTATTTTTGTATTGTGATTGTATTGCATGTTGATGGGTTCATTGTTTTTATGTATGTGTTTATGTATTTTGACAAGTTCTATATCTTATTGCATGTGTGACCTGAAAAGAATCTATGGAATTTAAAATAAAGTGAAAGTGTTCCTCCCTTAATATCGGAGACTGAGTTTCGCACACGTACACAACCACAGGCAAAATTATAGTTTTGTATATTCTAATTTTTACACTTTCAGACAGCAGATGAGAAGACAAAGGGCTCCGAAATGAATGGTAGCAAGCATTACTCGAGTTCAGTCTCCTAATTTCCTCCTGGGAATGCACCGGATATACCTACCCTACATTTTATAGGCCAGAAACAAGAATTCTGTGATGGACGCTTACTCATGGCACATCAGAGTTTTTATAAAGCTGCAGCACAATGGATAGAACAACCGATAATCGGCAACTAACCACAAGAAATTTCTTCATCAATTACAGTACTATGAACACAGTGAACATTAAAAAAGAATACAATAACTGTGTTTATGGACATTACTCATGTCCTGTTTCTATTTAAAAACAAAACGTTTAGGCAACCTTCTCTGGCACAAATGAGTTAGGTTCCACCTGAAAACAAAGGCAGAATGCATTCTCCATGACGTTCTGTTTTAAATAGTCCTTATCTCCGGAGATAGGGACTAGCTCTATTGATTGGGCTGACTGAGTAAGTTCTATCTGAAGGAGGAGACAGAATCCAGTCTCTGAAACACTGTGTTGTCCAGGAACACAATATATATCGTCATCACAAACTTTTAGATCCTATTCAAAAGGGGCGTAGAACCGTCAAGAAACCACATATAATCATGGGAGGCAACGTCTCTGAACAACTGAGTACAACACTCCAGGTCAGTAGAAGCCCCTGGAGGAATGACCAGCAAGTTACAATGGGACTTGTTGCAGTGCAGGTTTGGGAATGCATCCCTACATCAGGTATCACTGTTGGGAAAGGTATCTAACAGCACGTACCCCTAGTTCCTGCCTCACCAACTACCCTGTTAACCTATTTCAAAGGCAAGTAATCTGAGGATAATGTAACGTAACTTCAAAATTCTTCCAATAAAATTGGTGGTGATGACCGAATGATTGAAAGACAGCTGACAGTTTTGGAAATGCAAATTATAAAATGACCTCAAAAATAATTTGAAGTACGCTCCAGTTATAACTGATTAAGTAACTGAACAAAAGTGGCATCCTGAATCTGAAACAAATATAAGCTTTCAGCTATGTGTGTGTGGCTTCGTGCGCCTGCAGTCCACAGGCATGCTGTGTGGCATATCAGTGACTTACCTTTAATCCATTCCTTAATCACAAAACATATAACACAACACACACAATCATTAATTGATACATTGAAAGTACCAGGAATGGGACATGAGCGAACATTTCTCGTTTTTCTGTACATAAATTACAACTGCTAGTTTGTGTAGTTTAGAAGTTATGCTGCCCTTTTTTTTATGTACACGCAACATAAACAAAAATTCAGAAGTCTAGGGTAAACGGGAGATTCTAACAACTAAAGCTTAGTCTGTACTGAAGCCTCCTCTTGTGTCATAGTTCAAATGGGATTGTTACCCATCCATCCATGAACAAACTCTAAACGTATGGAGAAGCAACAGGACAAGGACCACCGCACCAAGATAACACCAATTTTAATTTTATTTAACATAACTGAGAGAAAGTCTAGGAATCAACCCACTCGACTGACAACTATTATGGAACTCTGAGCATATACAGTATGCCAGCTTGCTTACTCTATGGATGTGCTTGATGGTGGTTGCATGCCAAGCAAAACATGTTGCACTAATGCTGTGCCTAGGCCGTGCCATAGCTCAAGCGGTTACTCCCTGGCTTCCCACCGCGGTGGCCCGGGTTTGATCCGGGATCTGTGGTGGACAAAGTGGCAGTGGGGCAGGTTTTTTCCAAGTACTTCGGTTTCTCTGCCAATCTTCATTCCACCAAATTCTCCATCATCATATCACCCGGGGCAGGTACAATAGGCCAATCACTGACCATTGTGCCAAGTGGACCCAGTTGGACTCCACCCCTAACTAAGGGAATTAAAAAAAAATGCTGTGCCTAGAAGCATACTGTGTGACCACACAAATGATTATGCAAATATAAATCACAAACCTCAGAAAATCGTTGAATTTTGTGTGAGGTAAGGCAGAAACATAATACCATTTGAAGTTCAAATAACGACAATCAAGAGAGTTACTTCTGCAAAAATTACCAGTGAATCCAAGTTCTGGTACAAACATGCTCAACAAGAACAATGAAATCAAACTATACTGCATTTCATATACCAGTGTAAACTGAATTTCACAACCTGAGATTCCAGGTTTTAAATTCACAATTCACAAGGAGATGCAAAGAGACTCTATAATACATTTAGTCTTACAATACTGTAGAACTTGTGAATGTATGTTCAACAATTGATTATTTAGTGAAAACAGTTGCAGCAAAAGTATAGATAACATATGTATCTCTCACTCTGTTTCACACATATTACTCTTTAATTCTTTCAGGACCAATCTCAACATTCTTGAGCCTACATAGGGCATCCACTGGGCCTGTTACAGCAATAACTTTACCTTCATTTTCTTACACTTTTCTAAAGCTGGTTATTTAATGATCCACAGCATTTAGCCTTCCTACTGATCTCTGTAATCTGCAGCGGTTTCATGACATAACTAAACTCAACTTCCTCCCTCTGCAACCAGACAAGTGGTGTGCATCAGGGATGTGATAACAATGTGCTGCCTGGTCACAGCTACTGGTGGTCAGACAGTTCAAGGATGTGATAACAATGTGCTGCCTGGTCACAGCTACTGTTAGTCAGACAGTTCAAGGATGTGATAACAATGTGCTGCCTGGTCACAGCTACTGTTAGTCAGACAGTTCAAGGATGTGATAACAATGTGCTGCCTGGTCACAGCTACTGTTAGTCAGACAGTTCAAGGATGCGATAACAATGAGCGCCCTGGTCAAAGCTACTGTTGGTCAGACACATCATATAGATGAGAAAAAGTAACAGATGCTCACTTTCTTACAAAAATTCTCCTAACAGTGGTTCATACAGTGGCTGTGCTCACATGTAAGTGCCAACAAAATGTGCTATCTTTTGTGAGTAAAAAGAATGGTCCATTTTACTTCATTTGATACAGATATGATATGACAGAGAATGGAATGTTTCCATACCACTTCCAAAAGCAAATGTGAGATATATGCCCAGGTGAATTCCCATCATGGGGCAGATGAATTGCCAAATTAATACACTACTTCCAAATTTTATACAATCCTTCAAAAATATATGTGCTTTCTGTAATGGAGTTCCTGTTAAATTTTGCATCTGCGTTATTTGCAAGAACTTAGCAATAATTTACAAACCACTACTGCTAGTTCTATCACTCCCCTCCCCAACCCCCTCCTTTAAAACATCTAACAATCCTTTCCAATTTTTTTGACAAACACTGTCCTCAGCCATTGCACTCTATAACATATAAGTAAAATTAGGACTGAATTCCATTAAGTGGGGCAGTGTACTTTTAATAATAAAATACAGCCTTTACATGTTTCGGCCAATAGTGACCATCATCAGAGGGCAAGCAACACTTCAAAGCAAATACTTCACGTCTATTATGTGTGTGCGTCCCTCATAAGGGATAAAACATTAGTATCTAAAATACGTTTTGTTAAAAATAAGAGAATTTCCAATTGATAGAAATCTTGCTTAGAGTCCCCATGATGGTTGTGTTTCTGTATTGTGTTGGTCCTGTGAATGTGGGCAAGGTCATGATGTTCACATTTACACAAGACAACATGAACAAAATTTTATGAAAATATTCTGAATACTATTAATAATAATTTTGTTAATTATAAGGGCACTCACGTTTTCCTTTCCGATGAAGACGTTGCCACCAAATCATAGATCTGTGCTCCATTATGTGAAGTGTTCACCAGGTAAAGTGCCTTTTCATCTACAAGAAGGAAATGCCAGCATTACAATTCATCCTCACTGTGCAGTTAGTGGTATGGATCTGAAAGCTCGACTTTGAGCCTGTTCAGGCATCAGTCAGGTCTATGCTCCCTAAGTTGCAAATGAGCATGAGACTGGTACCTGACTAACTGGCTCACAGACTTGCAGAATCCTCCATTCTCACCCACCAAAACTCAAGACAACCATACAAACACAAACTTTCATATTCATGCTGGTATCTGTACACTAAGTTGCTTAGAAAACACTTACTGTACCGTGCAGCACAAACATCCCAAGAGCTAACAGCCATTCCTCTTCAAAGGGAGGAACAATTATTATGAAGCACCCTGTCCACTGCGTGGGACAACTCTGATATACATAACATTTCAGAAACTGGAACTGTCTATTCAGCTGGAACCATCAGAACTGGACTTGATCACCAGATCAAATCAAGCTCAGGACACAAAATGGGCAATGCAAAACACAATATTCATATACTGAATCGACCACGATCACACTTTTCATGGAATCGGAGGAATGAAGATGCAACATTAAATGTGCTTATTGGTCAAATTCTATTTCGGCTCCTTATTTAATGACACTGTTTCAGTATCGAGACTGCACAGCGTTGGATGACAAGACGAACTGGAAGGGATGTAAAGGATGAGGCTATGGCCTAATTAAGGTACTATTCTGGTTTCTGTCAGAAGGTACTGAGGAAAACCAAAAAGAGTTCCAGATTTCCTGGATGACATTCTTACGAGCACCTCCCAGACAAAAGTCTTGACTGTTACAATCAGTGCAACCTGCCTGGTGTGATCAAATCAATATATATTGTAGCATACAGACTCAATGCTAAGTAATGACACTGTAAACAATGGCTGTTGCCAGGTAATTGCTGTAAACAATAACACAAGAATGGTGTTCTGGACACAGTTCATGAGCCATGTGATGCAACGATAGAAGAACTGTTGGGAGAGGTGTTTTCTATGTGGTCTATGCTAAGGCTGCAAAATGAGCAGCAGCTGTGATTACAAGAGTCTTGGGATAGCAGCGAGAAGAGTAGGTGGTGGTGCGAGATGGCCGCCAGCCTGGGAATGAGTTGTAAGACAGTTGCTGAAGGACATGAACACTTAAGCTATGACACTGGAAGACGTTACCAGGCAACAACCAGTGAAGATACAGGGGACTGAGAATTCTTAGTGCATGCTGCAGTGAACTGCTGAGTGTGTGAATTAGTGACAGCGCTATAGTTACTTGTAGTTGTGATCCGTAAGGCTAGGAACATGCACAGCGACATCGGTTGTAAGACATTCGTATGGTTCATGACGCATCAAGTAGTAGAATATAAAGTGTAGTCTTAGCTTTCATATGTGACGACATGCAACATCTACCGTACAACAGTTGGAGAGCAAAGAAATGCATTTGATCATTTTAGTGTGAAAAGGAGGTTGTATGGCAAAAAAATCATATAACATTTTTCCGTATGAACGATGTCGCTGTGTGTGCTTGCCAAAGAGTGAGCGTCAGCTAGGAGTGAAGGGAGTGGATGCACTGCATTACTAAACATTAGTAAGGCACTATGAGGTGGCCCTGCTCTGTTGAGATATCAGTCTACCTGTGTCTTGACAATATCTTGAGGACATAATTCGAATGAGAGACCAAATAAGTTGCAGGATGGAGGTGACACGTTTTTCCGATATGTCAGCTGACTTTCACCAGAGTACACAATGTTACATCCCACATGACAGAAGTCTTCATAAGTGCTGCTGTGACAACCTGAAATGCTACCCACTTATATTCAGTTATCTTCGTAACAACGCAGCCAGTTCCAGAGATCTATGCAACTAGCAATGAACATAACACAAATCTGAAGGGGACTACTAAATGTCATGGTGGAATGGTTATTAGTTCTGCTTCCTACTTGGGAGATCTCAAGTTCAAATCCTGGCCTGGACACTGGAGAACCTGAGTACTTCCACAGTTTTGTTCAGTCCAGCAGAGGCAATTCTGGGGCAGTACCTTAACTTAGCGCATGCCAGCACTCCTCCCAATCCTTTCCAGATCACCATTTATTAACAATTCAACCACTCGAAGCCGCGCGCCATCAGATGCTGAAGGTGCCGCGAGATAATTTTTATCTTTTTGCATCCTATCATGCGTCTCTTTCTACAGCTTCGTCGTTGGGAAAATGTTCAGCAGAAAGATGAATTTCAAGACGGCCGAACAAATGGAAGTTGCTACAGCCCTGACCTTGCTCCAAGCAACTTCCATTTGTTTGGCCCTCTTAAACATCATTTTCCTGCTGAACATTTTCCCTGACGATGAATCTGTAGAACAGAAAGTCACCGCCTGGTTCCAACATCAGCCCAAAGAATTTTATGCTGCTGGTTTTCAGGGGCTTGAGAAATGATGGGACGAGTGCCTGAATGTACAAGGAGTTTATGTTGAGAAATAAAAGCATTTTTCAAATCAGTACTCTTGTTTGTTTAAGTTCTATATCCATTTGTAACTTACTTATTGACTTACCCTCATAAATAAAACCTTCCCTTCTGGCTTACTAGGCTTTAGCAGAGGCTGCTGGGTTGGATTTTATGATATACCTTAAGTGTGGGTGAGTGGTGGAAGAAGACTCTTAACACTTTGCAGATCAGTGGCATATTTTTATGCTCAACGCTTTTAAACGTGGCGGACTGGTGGCATATTATGATTTCAGGACACGTTATGTTGAAACACACTATACCTTGCACTGGCACCAGGCAGATGCATGACTGGTGCGTCATAGACCTCTTGAATGTTTGCTTTGTAGTGCGTAACATGACCCCTGCTATTGATGACCCAACTGTTTTCCTTTCCCACTCCAAAAGAAAATGCCTTTGTTCATCTTCCAACTGCATGCACCAGGCAGGAAGATACTAGTGCAAAATGGATCAAGGTCAGAAGAGGTTGAGGTCCAAGCGTTTTCTTGGAGAACAAGAAATATCTGACTTGTTCTCTGATGAGCTAGCTGACGTCCCTTGTGAGTCTGCTAGTGACAGCGATTCACAATCTGATAGTGAGTGTGGCAGAGGCAAACAAAAAATTGTGACCACAGACAGTGAGAGTGAAAGTGAAAGTGAAAGTGAAAGTGACAGCAGCTCCTAGGAAAGTGAGGCAGCATCATTGCAGGGTCAGCCACATGGGGAAAAGTAGACAAAATGCCTGCTTTGGGACAGTTTGCTGGAAATCGAGGGGTGAAGCAAATTCCATCGGACCTAAATCCACAATTCACAATTTGAGCATGGTTGATGTTCAAAGGAGACACTGACAGGTAAAGAAGCCTGTTTGTATTTCTGAGTATAATATGTTCATGAAGGGAGTTGATGGACCCGATCAGTACTTGGCCTATTATTCTCTTCCTCGGAAAGCAGTAAAGTGGACAAAGAAAGCTGCCTTGTGGCTTATAAACTGTGCCATTTTCAATTCATTTTTGGTTTTCAAAAATCTAAACCATCATTCAAAATTGAAATATAAGGCATTCATGCTGAAAGTTGCAAGAGTCTGGGCTACAGACCAGACGGTGGCGGCAGAACCGGAGGCAGACACAGACTTAGTGCAACCAGGTCCATCAACTCCCACCCCAAGCAGGCCTCATGTGGACGCCCCTGGGCGACTCTCGGGTGATATGCGGAAATATACCCTCATGAAAACTGTGAAGAGTGAACGTGACAAGGGGAAGCAGCCTTCTAGGCAATGTTGTGTTTGCGCAGTACACAACAAAAAGAGTATGACTGTCTACATGTGCAAGTTCTGTGTAATGCCACTTCACAAAGGGGAATATTTCCAGAAATATCACACTCTCAAGCACTTCTAGGAGCATTGGTAAGTGTTCTTGAAAATTTTAGTTCATAAAATTACTTAGGAGATTTTATGTTAATTTTTAAAGTGAACAGTGTACAAGTTAGGGTAGTAGGTTTAAAAATGCCAGTCCCCAGGGTGATTTAAATATTTAAATCGCCGGTCCGCGAAGTGTTAAGTAAGTCAGTAGATATACCACTAATAAAGCTCATGGGAGATTAAAAGGCACAACTGCCAAAAATGTGTGTGTAAGGATGGAGATCAATTCTAAGGGTCTGAAGACGGTGCAAGAACACTGATTACTCAGTTTCTGAACACACTCCACTGCCTAGTAGTCCGAAAGCATGTAACATTTAGAAAATGAGATCTGTTACTGTCTTCAGATGCAAAATGTGGGTTGGTACCTCCTCAACTTGGTCCTATAGAAAGACATGTCTCCAGCTGTGGAGATTATACCTCCCTAATGGTCCCAGTTTGGTAGGTATCTTCCCACCTTACCATCTGAAGACACAAACACGTTCAGTTTCTGAAGCAGTCTTCTACTGAAATATTATGTGATAGACTAAGTTCAGATTCTCAGCAATTGTGTCAACATCTTCTAGTTTTACAAATAAAACATGAAATAACGCACCAGTGGAAAGAAAGAGGAATGAAAACTATATTCATTATGTGCACAAAGCAATAACATTTACCAGTGATGGAAAACTGCCAGCACCATAAACCCAATGAACAAATGAACACTGCTATCTCCTTCAATGTGATGCCTGGTTGCCCAGCTCTTTAATGAAGTGCTGGAGTAACCGGCAACCTTCACCTTCTACCATGAAAGTGCAGGCACCTTGTAAACACTGGTAATGGTCTACAGACTATATGGCATCACATCCTAGGTGCCAGGAATGTTCACAGTGGGAGACTAAATTTCCACACAAAATAATGGACATCTCAACACACAGATTTTCTAGTGCACATCACGAATTAACTGTAAATGAATCCAGAACTTTTCACTTACTTTCCCATGCTAAGGCTGTATAAGTAACCGTGAAGGCCTGGTCATGTACCAAATTACCGCAAAAGTAATTTATACCCTGAAGATGGAGGTAGGGTGCTCCACTGACATGCTAAAGCCATCTATTAGACTACCCAGTGGCATAACTAAGGAGACCATAGCATATAATGTTTACTGTTTAGTTAATGATGCTGTGAGCAGCACAGACTACACAGTGCTGAATGGTGGGACTGGTGAATAACGAACCTTGGCCTGATTTGTAGTATTATGTATTTCCCTGCAGGGACTGAGGAAAAGCAGAGAATTCAGCAAAGGATGGCTGATCTCCAAGCTATGGTACAAAGCTGGAGGTCTCTGCAGTGGTGGTTGTACAGGCTATTTTTCTCTGGGTTGGGACACTGTACAGCCTTGCAGCTGGATACCAACATCTTGCAGAAACACACTGCCATCTCCTCCTCCTCGAGGGGTCAAACTAGCTGCTGTCTCCCCCTTAACCCACCTGTGGCTCTAGTGAGCATCCGTCCTGCAATCTGCCTTCATAAGTCAAACGACTCCTGGTCCTACAGTCTTCAACCATGAAGGTGGAGGCAGTATATTCCTGTGATATGTCCGCACCCCCCTATTGGGCTACCCAGTGTCCCAGGTCAGAAGGCTACAATGTGAATGAAGCAACCACGTGGCCATGATCTTTGTCAACAATACAGTCATGTGCATGAGGGGCATATTGGATTCATGACTACTTTTAATATAGAACTCCAAATTACACTTAATTACAGGGCCATCACTAATTTCCACACTTTACAAATCACTAGCAACACCTTACGTCTTGTCTTCACCAGACGATTCATGGCAACAGCTTCTAACAAAGACTATTCCTTCGATTCTGGGCTAAAGTCCTCTCTGTGTGGTGGCTCCCTTCCAACTGCAAATTCTTGCTCCAACAAAGTCTTCTCTTCAGAGGCTCAATGACCACTGAACACTGATTGAACTTTAACTTTGTCCCCTGCTGCATGTGTATCCATTGCTACAGGGAAGGGTTTATCAAGCCGTTCCCTTGCAGTGGCCATCTATTCTCACTTATCAGGAATCTGCTGCCTAGCAACACACACAGTTCCATCATCTGTTGCCTAGAAATGAATGTCCATTCAGAGCTGTTTGGTAGCAACAGCTGTTTGCCTGGCTCCACATTTCTTGCTTTGAGCAAATATGCCAAAATATAAACAGCAATATACAGGGTGCCAATGTTTCGGATGAATATGCTGCCCTGAAGATGGAGGCATGCATTCATCCGTCTTATCTTCTGAGATATGAAGAAATGCAATCTGGTAGATCATTACTACTACTGAAATGTTGGTACAAGGAATCTACCAGACTACATGAAATTACATTCATCACCATGAACACCTCAAGTGAAATCAATGAACACTATACTTTACCTAGCTCTGGCTGACACTATGCAAGATATGATTTCTATGTTCCCTCAGATCACTCACCTACAGCATTATGCCTCACGAGAACTGTCGACACTTTGATGATTGGACTCAGTGTTGGACTCCTGTCACCACCGCCACCCACAGTGTTGACATTGTAGAACTTGAGGACATACTTCTCATCCTGCTTCTGAAGCAGTATGATCACATCATCCAACAGCAACACGTGCAGGTCTATCAGCTTCTGGCGATTACCGATTCGCCAGTTTAACGAACCCTCATAAATTAACTGATGTTTCGTGAGGTCAAGGTGCTACAAAAATAAAACCAAATAAAATATTACAACAGCCAGTACCCAAGGACTACAACAAGTTACTAACATCTAAGTTATAAAGCACAGTCTAATTTTTTCCAATGAAAATCAACACTTATAAACATTCTGTTTCATTGTCAACACTTTCATCTCTCTAGGAATTTGTCTATTCACAATATTCGTCACTTCAAGTGAACAGCCCTGCCAAAAATGAACATAACTCTTATTAATGTTGTCTCTCTGAAGTCTTAAAAGTAATTTCACTCGTCTCTGATAATACATGAACAGGGGAAGGTAAAGTTTTCACTGTTCATAATTAATTAAGCATGACGCCACAAAGAGGCATCGGGGAGCACCATCCTTAACCTCTGCACTAGATGGGGGTCAGAATTTTTTATTTTTTTCTTTATGGTCCTACAGCCCTTTCGACCTTGGTCACCTTCTTAGTTTCTTAATCTTATACAGTCAGTAGGACACCCTGGATGGGAGATCAGACAGTCACAAAGGCAGCTACCTACTCACAGAACACAAACACAGAATAAATGCACGCAGACATCCATGCCTTGAGTGGGATTCGAACCCAAGCAGGCGAAGACGGTTCATGCCTCAGGCCACACAGCCACTGTGATCAGCTGGAGGTCAGCACAGTCTACACAAGTAATCTAAAATCGGTGACACCTGCAACTAACATTCCTCAATGTAAGTCTTTGCTGCAGTGAACAATTTTAATGAGCCCAAGTCAGCAACTGCAGTGTTAAATCTCCCCCCATTTAAGATCTTCCTCACTTTAACATTCAGATCAACTGATCCCCACTGAAACCTTAAATGGGGGTTTCGATGCAGTATCATAATATCATTCACAGATAGCATCAGGTTCTGCGCCAAGCAATATTTAATTTTGTGTAAAAGTACGCTTGTGTTGACTGCTGTGTGTATCATGAGCATGTAGGGGCACAAAGCTGCATTTCTATTTTAGTCTGGTAAAACAGTGCAAAGCCAATCACAGTTGCCATGTGATCTAAGTCATAAACTGTCTCTGCCTGCTTGGATGCTGGGATTGTGGGTTCAAATCCCACTCAATGCATGGATGTCTGTGTGTGTGTTCATTCGGTGTGTTGGTAGCGGCCTTGCGATGGGCTGACCTCTGTCCAAGAAGTCCTACTGTGTACAGGATTAAGAAACTGAAAAAGCGGCCAAGGTCCAACAAAAGGTCTGTAGAACCATCAGACAGATAGATAGATAGACAGACAGACAGACAAGATAGATACATAACAGTGAAAAACTAATAAATAATTATAACACAAATGACACAAATTAACGAAGGAAAAAGATCGTTTGGACCACAACAATTTATTTCAAAAACCTATTTCTGGTTTCAACCACAATTTATTTTAAAAACCTATTTCATCATGCCAGAGCAGAACAAAACTACAAGAATTCATTAAAATACAGCAAAATCCCTGTTGTAAGGTATGCTTTTGGAACTTCAGTTACATTCCCAGGACAAATGAATGCCACATACTTTAAACTCGCCAGCCATTGGATGTTCCACTTTCTCAAAGCCAGACTTGTCCAATCTCCTCTGGATTTCTGTCAGCCTCTGAATATCTTCAGCCTCTCTAACAGCCTGATTGACATGGTTAAGGATTTCTCTGCTGCGCTCCACAGCACGCAACACGCTTACTAGCTCCTCTGTGTCCTCCTCTGTATATTTTGCTAGGTTCTCAAACAACAGAGGGTATTTGGTAAGTCTAGAAAAGGAAGAAATTGCAATACATCAAGTAAACAACACTCCACATAAATAGGTCATAAATATTATCCACATCAAAACCTGATTTGGGCAGGAAAACTTTCATTTCCTCATGAAACATGGCTTCAAAGTGATGAAGTATATTATATTCAAAGAAGTCAAGAAGACAGACTAATACAGATGGCATAATTAAAATAAATTTTATCACATGGCTGTAAAGCAATAATAAAATTATGCTTAAGTAATACTGTATCAAAATCAACATTTATAGTACAGAAATTTGCATCTTAAACTCAAAGGCATCTCAGAATCTTGTATTTAAACCTATGATTTACACCTCTGTACAACTTATGCACCCATTAAATATAGTACTCATACCCTTTATAAAATGGGGCATGTGGTCGCATAGTTGCTTGAGGCACTATGCTACAAGTCAGAAGGCTGCGGGTTCAAGTCTTGTTGAAGTGAACATTTTCAAATTACCTATTCCTTCCAGCTACACAATTGCCCTGGGCTGACTCAGTCTCTAACAGAAATGAGTACCAGGAATCTTGCTGGGGATAAAGGGCAGCCGGCAAGTAAGGTTGACAACCTCACTGCCATCTGTGAGCCGCATATCTAGAAAATGTGGGAGCCTCGACGTCTCACAACACTATGGGCCCTCACGGCCTGTTACCTTTTTACCCTTCATAAAATTTTGACTGATACACATTAAGCACTGCGTAGGAGCTGAGGTTCTCACAGTGGTGGTTATGAAGAGTTCTGTCTTCTGGGATATAGCGCCTTGTTGGAACTGAGGTTCTCACAGCGGTAGTTATGAAGAGTGCTATCTTCTGGGATATAGCGCCGGGTAGGAACTGAGGTTCTCACAGCGGTAGTTACGAAGAGTGCTATCTTCTGGGATATAGCGCCGGGTAGGAACTGAGGTTCTCACAGCAGTGGTTATGAAGAATTCTATCTTCTGGGAGATGATGCCAACTAGTCTGCTGAAATTAAACTGACATTTTGGAGGAACAGGTGTCTTGCTTGCCTAAGTTCTTAGAACCTGAACATGGAGGCAAAATGTTTCTTTGTAACATCATTTGAATTTCAACAGGCTAAACATTATGCCCCAGAAGACAGACCTCTTCAAATTCAGCACCATGCTTATGCTTCAATCATGTTTTCAGTGGTAATTATGTGCCAGTTGAAATATGATCAAGAAGAAACTTCAGCTCAATCTAGGAATCATGTTGTGAAGTCCAGGAGTGCAAGTGTCCGTACTGTAGCCACATCACAATGAACTGCACTGCCTCAAGCTGATACATATGCAACTAAATTCTGAAAAGTACATCATTCCCATACTTTAAAGTGACCAGGGTGTGAAGCTGACCACTCATCTACATCTAGTGTTGAGGTCAAGAATGGTGGAGCTAAACCTCCACTCCCCCATATGCCTTAATGGCAAAGGGACAACTTTAGTTTTTTATCATTCCCATATTTTATGCACCATAACTCTCGAACATGATCTTTTGGAGTAAGAAGGTTTGAGAAATGTGTTATCAAAAATGGTATGGATAGCACAGACTTCGTGAGATCATGACTGGGCTCCCCTGTATAAGGCCACAAACATTTTGACAACAGAGAAAGACATGGACAATGAACAAAATGGAATAATAATTTGGAAAGTGACTGGCTTTCACAGTTGGCATTCCCTTACCAACCAAGATGACAATGATGCCATTTAGGATGACCAAATCATGACGGAGAGACCAACACCATCATGCAATTCACCTGAACATGTTCTAATGACCTGTCCCATCATCATCATCATCATCATCAAGGAAGCCTGAAGCCACTTAAAATATCTGGGATATGGCAACGGAGGTTTCACTGCAATGAAGATATGAAATATGATCTTCTGGGTTGTGGCACCATGCAGACTGGTGGGTGGTTACAAACATCTGGCAGCAACATTCAGTGTCCATCTTCAGGGTAGAACAAAAGGTGAAAGCAACATGTACCACAATGTGCTGCTGGTAACCACTACTGAACTACATGACACCATGATCTGGAAGGCTATCAACACAGACACTTTAGTGTTTAAAGATAGTAATCTTTGTCATCACCACTGTGATAACCTCAAACCCAGGCACTTATGAAACACCGAACCATGGCCTGATCTATGAGACACCCAGCTTCAAACATCTGGATGTGAGACAGATGCACAATAACTAATGGGGCGCACACAGTGTTTGTGCAAACACAAACCTCTGCATGGCAGTTGGTATTATGTCTTTCAGCTGCAGCCTCCGGCACAAGGAATTGCCCTCAGCGTCCGTCAGGAAACCGTTCAGCTTTGCATCCTTCCGCCGCCGTTCCCTGAGTAATTCCAGAGCTATTTGTTGTCGCGCACAAAATGTTGCTGCTGCTCGCTGGAAGTTTTCACCCGCAGGACCATCAAACTGGAAGATTATAGTTAATGGTACATTTGACTGTACTGGAAAATCTGGGTAGTCATGAGCCAGGCTCCCAGAAAGCAGCTTATATACAAATCTATCAAAGGACTAAGTTCTCTGAATGGGCCTTAATGTATGCAAAACCAATTTGTAAGTAAAATGTCTGTAGTTCAAAAACATTATTTCCCCAAACAATTCACAAACACATTTTCTACAAACAGTTACATACAATGATATATCAATTAATCCTTTTGTGGGAAGAGTAATACAAAACTGAGTTACTCTAAATGGGGATTATGAAAAATGCACCAAGAAACTGTTCTCATTCTTGTAAGATGTGCTATACATAATAATGAAAAAGCAACTGAAGAAAATGTGTCTAAACAAGTAAATGAAGTTACATAACCAATTATATCAATTAATTTCTATAAAAATAAATAACCTATGACATATATGCAGAAAGAACCGTGTCCTGGTGCTTCCCTGGTATGCTCTGACTTCACTATAGCCCAGCATCGTGCATACAATTAATTCTTACTTTAGCATGCTCCTAGAGTTTGAATTAAATCAGTTGTAGGGACACAAAGTACATTCTAATTGAATATGTGCATGTAAGCTTACCATAGAAAGAAGCATATCAGCTATATCTCCCACCAAGGGGCTGTCACGCCGTTTGGTTTTCATCACACTGTTGAACTGGCTATGGATGTCCAGCATCTCATCCAGATTTGAAAACAGGAGCTGAATGTGGTCAGGAGGAAGAATCTGGGTGTCCAGCATCGGCCGGTAGAAAACTCGGTCTAGCACTTTCAGGTTACGAACATGTGAACGTTCTGTGTGGAACAGCTCTGTAATTTTGAACAAAGCGGAATGAGAGTATCAGAAGAGCACTCTCATCTAAAGTAGAAACATGTTCCAAATATGAAACAATGCCATCTCACATACCTTGTGTATTGCATACCACTGTGGTGCCGTAAAAGCTATTGCCTTATAAATTACATAATTACCACGGAAAGAGGAAGCAGTGAACACACACACACACATATCATGCACTGTGACATACTATTATGGTCAATCAGCAATCACACCACACACAGAAAATAGAACTACAAATTACAGATATGAAATGATGTGGCAAAAATGTTGCCACACACGGGCCAAATAATAACCACAAATGTTCTGTGAAATGGGATGCTATACATCAGTTTACCCTCCCTGCTTATTGGCCAAATGCACGCAGCAAGATCCAAGTCAATACCCACTAGAATTTCAAACAATTTTTATAGTCCAGGTGAGAGTAAATATTTCTAAACATTTCTGATCCCACTTAATCACTAATGGTAACACAAAAATGTTTATGTTCTTGGATTCTGTGTGATAACATTATCATAAAATCTATGGGAAAACAACAGCTATGCATGTGCAACATTTTCTGTCTGTATAAAACAAGCTGTCAAAACAACCTAACCTCAATAACCTGAAAACTTCTGGAAAGGCAACTTCACCATTGTGTCTATATAAAATCCAGCAGAAGCAGCTCAAATGCATTTAAAGATACTGAACTAGCCAGAGAATTCTTTTTTATTGTGAAAAATAACTGAAAATAAAAAGAAAAGCCTAGGCAATGCCCATTCAGCCCTCTGCAGCATAATCTTATAAACATCCTATTCTATTACAGCGGTCTCCTCCTGATTCTTAATATATACCTTAACTTAAATATTATAACATGCTATTATTGTTTTGTACATTTACTTCCTTTTCTTTTCTTACATAGTGACTTTTATATTAATATAGGAATTTCATTCATGAAATAACAGACACCTTGCACAAATCTTTTATCTTCTAACATTAAGAGCTCTGTTAATTAACTTTAGGTATTCTTTTTGCTGTTCTTAGACAGAATGTTCATCATTGTTGCCCTCTGGTCCTTGTACAGTTTACAGTTCTGGAAGATATGTACCCCGATTTGCAGCCCATTACCACATTCGCATTCTGCTGTGGACACAATGTTCAATTTATGAGGGCAAATTGAAAATTGTATTTTTCCAGCCACAATAATACACATACAGGGAAATCAAAATACAGGCAGTGTTCTATGTACCTTTGACTATTTTTCCACACAGTCACCACCCCAGTTCAGGCATTTGTCCCATCGCACCACTAGTTTGGAGATGCCACTGTTGTAGAATTCGGCCGGTTGAGTGCAGAGCGACCACCGGACACCAGTTTTCGCGTCATTGTCGGAAATGAACCTCTGGCCTGCAAGGAACTTCTTCAGTGGGCCGTACATGTGGTAATCACTGGCGACAAGGTCTGGACTATATGGTGCATGCTCCATAACCTTCCATCCAAATGACTGCAGTCGGACAGCGGGCCTGTTTACCACGAGGCCTGGCATTGTCATGGAGGAGAACTACATCGCTCACGAGAATCCACGGGCGCTTTTTCCTGATGGCAGCCCGCAGAGTGCAAGTGTGCCACAATAGCTGTCCGCGTTGATGGTGGCACCTCATGGCATGGTCGTGGGCGATTCCTAGAAGACCGTGACCATCAACTTCCCAACAGATCATCATCATCATCACTGGCAAGACAGTCCTTTGTGAGCCCTGGCCTTCCTCAGGACTGCTCGCCATTCTTCTCTATTCAATGCTACATTCCTCCAGTTCCTTACACCCAAAATTCTTATGTCCTGCCACACACATCCTTCCCATCTTAACGTTGGTCTTCCCACTCTCCTATTTCCTTCTGGTTTAGTATTAACCATTTTCTTGATGGTTCTCTTCTCGCTAGCACGTATTATGTGTCCAACCCATTCAAGCCTTTTCACCCTGACAGATGGCATTCTGCGGAATTTCTCCATGACAGGAGAACCGGGATGTTTCCACACCATGCTCTGCTGCTTGGGTTCTAGAGTGAAATGCAATACCCACGTTTCATCTCCGGTAACAATGAGATCCTGGAACATTTCACCCTCCTTGGAGTAACACTGAAAATGCTGCAGTGACATCATCATTCTCTTGGCCTTGTTCACATCACCCAACAGCTTAGGCACCCACCAACTTGAAACCTTGCGATACCCCAAGGAATCGTGAACGATATCGTAAACACTGCCATACAAAATGCCAAGGTCGGTCTACTGAAGAAGTTCCTGGCAGGCCAGATTCATTTCCAACGACGCGAAAACCACTGTCAGGCGGTGGTTCCACTCTCAACCGGCTGAATTCTACAAAAGCTGCATCTCCAAACTATTGGTGCGATGGGACATATGCCTGAACCAGGATGCTGACTATATGGAAAAATAGTCAACGGTACTTAGAACACTGACTATATTTTGATTTCCCTGTATGTGTATTATTGTGGCTGAAAAAGAAATTGGGGCAAAGACTTTTCTATTTGCCTTTGTATTTAAGCTTGGTTTAAGACTGGAGTGGCCTGCTCTCACATGGTTCACTTGACACAAAGGCACAACAGTTCATTCTTTTGGAACCGCGGAGATGAGCCATTCCTGTAGTGCCTTTCCAAGCAGCTTTCTCCTATATCACGTTTGGTGTTTTGACAAAAACTGTGAAGCTCCTCTTTTCCTTTCTTTTTCCACTGGGGTTTAAGATCTGTTACTGTTAATAATAACTATCTTTACCTTCTTTGATTGTTGCTTTGCCTCCAAGTCGGCCCTCTCATTATCTTTAGCTCCGCAGTGTCCCGGGGTGAAGTACTGGATTTGTTTCCTCGTGATTCCAGTCTCTCTATTTTATCTTTAAGCATTTGTGTAATGTGCGTTACGTTGCTCATTGTAGAGGATTTGCTATGCCTTTTAATAAGCTTGCCGAGTCCGAGAAAATCATGAAGTTTTGCTCCGAGTCTATTCTTTCAATAATTTCTAATGTTTCGCCAATTGCTAGTGTTTCCACCATGAATGTGGATGCTATCATAGATATCCTGAATTTCCTGCTACAACCGCGGTTGTCATGGTGATGGACGTAAGATAACACGTCACAATATCTACTGATGCGAATCCTACGAATGGTTTGTCCTCCATTTTTGAGCCATCCATGGAGAAACATTTGCTGGTTTTCATTCTTTCTTGGAAAATCTTTTTGAATTCCTCGTTGTGATCTTCTGCTTCCTTTATTTGTCTTCCCTCATTGAAAGATGGCCTCGTAGAAGAGGCTTCCGTATGTGTAGTTGAAGGCCGGGGGCAGTTCCCTGATTGGATTGAATGACCGAGAGGGGTTCCCTTTTTGTAATATTAGCTGATCACTGGTTGTACATTTTCTCCTTTGCCTGGGTTATCAACTAGCGCTGATAATTCTTCCAGCAGCTGGACCAGAGTAATAGAATATATTAACTGCTGCTGCTACCTACAGGTTCACTATGAACCCTTTCAACAAAGGTGGAACAGAAATACCCATTCAAGCACACTTCACACTATCATTCAATGCTGGCACATTCTGCTCCTGTTTGTAACTATTACCATCTCTGACAACTCTTAACAAACTCGGTGATGAAACTGTCATGTGATTTAGTGGTTTTAGATGGGGTTTGGACTGGTAATCTGATTTAACAGGCTTGTAACAACTTGTAACTACGATTATAACCATTGTACTAATTCACACACACTACAGTTCACTAGAGCCTGTGTGTCCTCATTAACCATTGCTCAGTAGTGGCCTTCACAGTGAGCATTTCCCTTTCTCTGAGTTCCGTGCCCTGAGTTACCAGCTTCAACCAGCAGTTGCCTAACTCACTCACTAACTCACCAACCAATTCAAATGCCTCACTTCCTAACTGTTCTGCTCCTCTGCTGCTGCGGAAACATGCTTCTTTATAATAATATCTGCTTAGAATCCAAAATCTGCTAGTGGTTCAGTCTCACATACCATTGATGACTTCCTGTCTCTTTAGTTCTCTCGCAGACAACTGCTTAAGAACTTCTTCATCTACCCCTTTTGACCAATCTACAGGATCTGGTTCTGCTTCTAGGTCACTGTCCCATTCAGCAGCACTGTTAGTGGGAGTCGGCGTTACAGTGACACCTTCTTGCGCCCGTGCTGCTGTCACAATCTCCAAGGAGTTGCTGGGGCTATCCAGGCTCCTGGAACAGAGTTTAATTTTGTGGTTAATCTACTAAGACTGATATTAACTCAGACAACATGGCATCACACTAGATAACAGTGAACTGAAAACAAGGTGGAAGTGGCCACAGCCTAACTTAAGGCACTACGTTTGCATTCACCTGGCAGGACTGACAGAAACCATACAAACTTTAGTGAGGATAACATTTTTGGCAGCAAGTGCTTACAAAACCTATAAAGCCAAAGAACAAAATACAATGTTGCGTATTTCTTGATGATGCCTGCCAGGCTTACTGTCCAATACTGATTATGAAGGCAGTATATTACTCCGAAACATCACCAAACTTCCACCGACTACACTGTCACATCCATAAAAACTTTTTAAGGTTACCACCAAATATATGGAAGTACTTACAACAGTGCCTATTATGATTACAGTTTTCTGTTCCACTGGGTCAATCACATGCCTGCAGGTTGCAATCCCATTGCATCGTCAACTAATGTCATCAATTAAAGTAGATGCTCCATCGAAACATCTAAACAATATCTCTAAGTTGTTTTACAGCTCACACTTAAGTGATACAGTTATGTTTTGTCATCAACAGAGGCTTACTTCACGCTCCTTCGCTCACCGAAGATTGCATTTTATTTATCCACGTGCACCAAACATAATCTAGAAGTAAAGGTACCACTGCAGCAGTGACATTCTTTTGGTAGATGCTGCACAATCCAACAAACTGCGGCCAAAACGAATTAATAAAAAAAGGAAAGAACCACAGGAGGCAGGTTTATACCTAAGAATCTGTCACCTCTGTTTCAGAATTTTGTGCGCTAATTTGGATGATTCATCTTCAAGTTGGAACTTTGAACTTACCTTGTTGATAGACTGGAATTTGATGAACTTCCTGAGTTTGTATTGTATGAAAGACCTTGGGTATCCAAATCCACATCACTGGGGGAAAAAAAGAACAAAAATTACACACGCAAAATACGAACTTCACGTCAAAATTACATTGTTTTTCTTCAATGAAGAGTATTTAACATGATTAATTCGTTTCAGTAATACATCATGTTCAAGTTCTCATTCACATCACAGGAGGGCACATGGAATAGTTAGTGGTATGCTCATTAACCCTTTAAAAACCAATTTCTTCTAAATATTATTAAAACAGGAAGTCGGTACCTCACAGGAAACACACTACGTCTCCGCCACAAAGCCCGACCGGTTAATGCTGTTTGGGGAAATAGTCGCTGTCTATTGTAAGAATTATACAGAACACACAAATACACTCCCAAATAATATACGTATATAAGAATTCTGTTCGTACCTCACAGGAAACACATTATGTCTCCGCTACAAAGCCAACTGGTTAATGCTGTTTGGGGAAACAGTCGGTGTTTATTGTTAAAACCATACGGAACACACAGATACACTTCCAAATAATATATAAGAATTCAGTCCGTACCTCACGGGAAACACATTGCGTCTCTCCTACAAAGCCCAACCGGTTAATGCTGTTTAGGGAGTAGCTGTTTATTGTGAGAACCATACAGAACACACAAATACGCTGTGTAAGCAGAATACAGAGTATTAAGTTATATTATAAGCATGTGATACATATAGAACCACTATGCTTTGAAGTGTTAATAAATAAAATCCTGCCAAATTTACATAGAAGTCATTGAACAACCCTTCACTGAAACCCCTTCATTTTCAATATTCCATATTTTAAGTCCTTACCTCAGTCAGTGGACTGGCTCATATCCACAGCGAGTTCTGTTGAGAATGGCGAGGTCTAACGCACGGGCAGTCTTAGTAACTACTTCTGGGAGAAAGGAGCAGTTTTAATATGATGCATATAATCTGGGGTCGACAACCCTCTTTCACCGCTGATTTGTCCAACAAGGACTATATTAAACACGTGAAAATGAGTGGAACAACTGCTTGTTAATCGTCGTTAAGTTCTACTAACACTGCTTGCCAACCGCATGCGCAGCTTGCATGATGACTAACTTCTAACACCATTTCCGTTTATATTTTACTGTAACGCTTAACTATCTGATGATACACTATAATATCAGAAACTTCGTTCACAGAGAAATAACTTTACATGATCTGATTGTTTATTTTCTCTGACTTCCAGGCGGCTTTCCCGCACCCTTGTTAGGCGCATACAAAGCAAATACACGAACGAATCCGATCTGTCGCGATATTGCGTCAAAGAGCTGGGACCTAGGCGATATTATGACGTCATGCTCACAGAATAACCAGCCATTGCAGTACTCAATAGACTCAATAGACGTCATTCCTACTTTATGGACGCATGCAGCAGACTAAAAAATGACAGCAAAGTACGTATCTTTCTCTGCTGACAGCCACAGGCCTCCCTGACACTGCCATCACTCGCAGCTGACACCAACACAATCACACACTTCTCCAGGACTTGGAAAAGTTGCAATAAAACTGATAAAGTGTCAGTTTATCGTAACAAACGGAGTTCAACTTTCTGTGTACGGCCATCAGTTACCATACGTACCACCGGGTTTTAACGTTAAAAGATCTCCAACAATCTGCCCGCGCATTGTATTTGTGTTTCGTGCCATCTTCACAATAAACAACGAATATTTCCCACATCAACCGACTGGCCTTTGTTAGGGATAGTAGATGTTTCCTGTGGGATGAGAACTGAATTTCTAAGCATCAAACGATTGACTTTCTTGACTGGTTCACTCTTCGACCCTGACGATGGAAACGATATGTTCCTCCGAAACGACGGCTGGAAAACACCGGTATATACGGCGTTATGTCCCAAAAGACAGATGTCTTCACTGTGGAGCAGTTGATGGAACTAGAATTTGCAGTGGAAAGCGATGTACCAAGAGAAACCCCACCCCAGTGCCACTCCGCCCATAGAAAGTCCCAACACTGCCTGAGATGGGATCGAACCCGGGCACTCGAGATGGGAAGCCGGTGAGTAACCGCCGGTGAAGGACCGCGCCATAAGTGAAGCGGTTAGTCGCTGGCTTTCCACCGCGGCGGCCCGGGTTCGATCCCGGGGTCTGGTCAAGTAGGATTTGTGGTGGACAAAGTGGCGCTGGGACGTGTTTTCTCAGAGTACTTCGGTTTCCCCTGACAATCTTCATGCCACCAAATTCTCCATCATCATAATCACCCGCGGCAGGTACAATAGGCCAATCAGTGGCCGCCGTGCCGAGGGGACCCAGTTGGACTGCACCTTCGACTAAGCGAATTAGAAAGAAAATCGCCGGTGCTACTGCACGGCCCACAGAAATGTCAACCAGACGGCAGTTCCAGCTCTGCACAGGCCTATACAGTGACGTAAGCCAGACGAGACACCGAACATTTGAGACACTGAACAGAAGCGGCCTCTCATCCACCGAGACCGACGCTGCTAAGGCAAGACGTCACCAGAACGACCTATACGACTTGAACTGCGTTGCTTCCCTTTGAAGGTATCAATGAACGCGTATAAAGTGAACCTGCTGCGTACAAAGGGCCGGGGTTGCCCAACGCGGTTACGTGACATGTGCCTTGGGGGAAATTGGGGGTTAGGGGAACCGTGGTCTACGATAACGTTAACAGAAGCCGGAGCTGCCTGTTCCTTCGCTTCAAACACATCAACAGTCTTGGTCTGGAGCCATGGCATTTGTTCCGGATGTGAGCCTATTGCTGGGAAAACCATGCACACATTACAAACCGCGGATTGGCAAAACCAGACAGACACTGCGATGTGCGTATAAGCCAGGCTGCCACGACTGCCACAGTAAAATAAGTTCATGCGTCCCGCGGGACTCGAAACCAAGAAACACTGTGCTGGCGAGACCCATCAACAATTTACTCGTCGCCGTCGTCACTACCTAAAATCCGCGACTGGCTAGACCGCGGATGGTAGCGGAATTTCTTAACATCTGAGGTTATCACAACGGTACGCATTCGGCATTCTGCGAAGTGACGCCCGTGTAGTCTGGTGGACGCCTACATTCGTTTAGGAGGAACGTACTACCTCCATCATAAGGACCGAAGTTGAAACAACCAAGCACACCCTGACGATGGTGGCAATACGATTCACCGAAACGTCGGAAAACTACCGGATTACACGACGTCACATTCGCGATGCCAGTACTGCCCGTAGTCACCGCCGTGAGACATGCTCTCCTCTCCGATGTGGCCACGCGTACGCTGGCAGAACGCTATCGACATTTTGGCGAAGGATGTCACCTCCTTTTTCAGGATAAGTAAGAAAACGAAATGCACGCAGGGCACTGCTTGCTGCTAGCTTGGCTTACTTTTCGATGAGGGCGAAACGACGGTAAAATTATGCCGGACTACACGGCGTGAGATCCCGGAGAACCGTACTTTCCAGTGTCAGCACTGTGAGAGGCCCTCAAACCCACACCTTCCGCAGCCGATGTTCTTACCGAACAAATTCAATTCATTCACCAATGGTTATATCGGCCTCTGTAAGTCTGTGGCAGGTATTTCAGTTACGTAATCCTACACACGGCCGGTAGGCCTCCTTACACGGAGTCAACCCGTCTCAAGGCCGTTACCGACAAAAATTAAAGAACAAAAGGCCACAGACACATACGCCTCGAGTGGGATGCGAACCCACACCCCCACAGTACGAGCGGGTAAAGACAAATTCAATGCCGCGTTTAAACAACCCTGCAAACACTGCCGCCCCCGGCGAGTTATCGATCTGCACTCCGCAATAATTGGGTATGATTACCCTGTTCATTGCGGAAATATGAGGCTTGCTTTTCCGCAACTCACTGGCTCACCTACATCGGACTTCAACCAATTAGCTCAATAAGTTCCAGTTCAGTACGTCAGAACACATGCACCAGACACAATACAGCCGACCTGCTGGGAAGGAGCCCGACTCACTACTGTAAAAGGCACATGGCATTTAGGAGCAAGTGGACTTTCAGACTGTGTTAAGGGCAGCTGGGGAGATCACAGTTGAGTACATACTGTAAAAGGCACGTGAGATTTAGGAGCAAGAGGACTTTCAGACTGTACTGAGGGCAGCTGGAGAGATCACAGTTGAGTACATACTGTAAAAGACACGTGGGATTTAGGAGCAAAAGGACTTTCAGACTGTGTTGAGGGCAGCTGGAGAGATCACAGTTGAGTACATACTATAAAAGGCACGTGGGATTTAGGAGCAAATGGACTTTCACACTGTGTTGAGGGCAACTGGAGAGATCACAGCTAAGTACATACTATAAAAGGCACATGGGATTTAGGAGCAACAGGACTTTCAGACTGTGTCGAGGGCAGCTGGGGAGATCACAGCTGAGTACATACTGTTAAAGGCACATGGGATTTAGGAGAAAGTGGACTTTAAGACTCTGTTGAGGGAAGCTGGAGAGACTGAAACCACACAAGAAAATATCAAAGACTGGCTTCAGCTGAGTGAAGGAGACCCTGGATTTCAGCTTCTGACAGAGGAAGAAGTTGCTGCAGTGATTTTTCTTTTTATCACCAACTATGTTATTTTCGTCTTTTAGGGCAATCTTTTGTTTCATTAATCCGTATTATCTTTGCGAGTGTTTATTGTGCTTCTAACAAATCGTATTTTGAAGACTGGCGTTTCAAACCTCACAGGACACTTGCATGCAATACAGGTGAAGCATTTCCTCTAAAGTGTTCGTCGTCTTTGGAGGAGGCCGGAACATGCAGAGGCTCCACCTAACGGAATTCAATCCTACCTCCACTCAAGTGAACTGAATGACGTCATCTGGTCCCAGTTATGCACATCAAGCTGCAACTGCATACATGTAAAATATTAACCCTCTGAAGCCTGAAGAAGAGAGAAGACAGACTGGCGGGGAGACGCTATGGGGGAACAGAAAATATTCTTGCTCTAAAGATTTCCAAGCAGTGTAGGCAGGTCCCTCTGGTAAACATCTGCCGTTGAGAGGGTA